TTGCAGTCTTGATAGCATTTTTAATAAATTTGGATAATTACAATCTGAATTTAGTTTAGTGGTCTTTTCCTGGTACTCTCAAACTCTGTTATAAGAACATGGCTATTCAGTTTTCAATTTGGGTAGAATAAATTGAAAGCACATCTTGTTTAAAAAAAAAATCTAAAACCAAGTAATATAAAGTAGGCTAAAGTCTGAAAGTTCCATTGGTAGAAACACTGATAATCAGACAGGAGCTCCCTAGATGATGAAACTATTTTACTTGAAATGAGTGAAAAGATCAATGTAACAATTTTCACTTTCATGTATTAAATAATTGCTTCTTTTTCTTCACCATCAAAAAAAAAAAAAAAAAGAACATGGCTATTAAGCTTATATGAGGGTATAATCTGATAAAATATCTTCTAAATTTTTTAAACCAAGGGTGTTGAGACAATTCTTCTGAATTTCTAGCTTTTGAAAGTATATGCTATACTATTCTATAACTTTATTGTAGAGGGATTTTAATCCAGTAATATAGCAACTCTGGATGGAATAAAGACATGCACTTAATACACACCTTTAATCTCCAACAATGAAAGTAAAGGTAGTTTGTGGAAAGAAGCACCCATGTTTGAAAGTGGTGTCTAATTGAGAGGCAGACAAAGTGATGAATCAGAGAAAGATTTGACCAAATAGGCTATGTCAAGTTCTCATGAGAACAGAGAGGAAAAAGAGGTGACTTAAGAGAGAGTAGGGTAGAAGGGGCTACATTTATGATACAAAGTGAATAAACTGTAATTAATATAAGAGAGAGACAGAGCAGGGTAGAAAGAGAGGGAGAAGACAGTTTTACCAGGACAGTTGTAAAGAGACAGGTTGCAGAGAAAGACACAGGTAAAGACAGAACAAGCCAGAGAATGAGAAGTAGTCAGATATTAGAACAGACTGCTAGAGTAAGTTTGAGGTCAAGCAGAGCAATTTAATCAGAAGCAGAGAGAAGTCAGTTTGAATCAGTCAGCTGGGAAAGGAGTTTGAGCCAGAACATCTGAGTTGAACCAGCCAGCCAGAGTTCAGAAAAAGGTAAGAAGGGTGAGCTTATTCAGAGGCTGAAAATATTCTAGGCCCAATTAGATTGTACAGAAGCTAAGAAGCTTTGAGGATTATGCTTAAGTTAGTAGACAGTGTTAGCATACTTTAAAGAAAACTTTGATTTTCTTTTATCTTTTTTTCCCTACTCCACCCCAACACCATCACCCATCACCCCAACACCAGGCAGGAGAGAAAAAGGGTTAGTGGGAGAGGGAGCACAGTTCTCTTAGCTGCTTCTTGCTAGTCAGGGTTGTCGGGTTCCTTGGAGTCAGTCCAACCCTGGTTTCAGTAGATCTCCAACTTCTTGTTTCACAGCAGCAACTGGGAGCAGCCAGGGGGAAGCAACAACGGCGTTGTTCTTTCTTGGAGCTCCACACTCTCTAGGCTCTGGCATTTATTCTCCTTCCAGAGTCCTCAGATTTAAACTATCTGCAGCTGGCAAAGAGCTCCTCTCAGAGTATACATGAGGCAAATAGTCTGTGGCTGAGGACCATCTGAATCAGTCCCACATCCCACACTTGGGACCAAAACATGGGCTACAGTTGGGTGAGAGAAGAAGGCTAAAAGGAAAAATTTTGAAATAACTGGGACGTAGCAGCATGGCGTAAAAACAATCTTTTAAATCAACTATAATTAAATGAAAATATGATGGTAGAGCATTAGTGATGGCAATCTTGGCTGCAGGGGCCCATTGCATTCATGATAAGATTTGTAGCTCTTACATGCTATAACAGCCTCCAGTTACCTGATTTTTTTTTTATTTTCTTTTAATGATAATGATAGTGTTCAAGGACTATAGGACCATTCTATGGATCTGGCTTGTGACAGATCAGAGCAGTGGCAGCAGCCAACATCCACCCTCAACCCCAACAGTCATGGATCAGTCTGTTAAACCTGAGAATAACAAGGAGAAAAACAAGTCTGCAATTGTCTGATTAAAAGCAAGCTGTATTTTTTGGTACACCAGGGACTGGCCAGTCTTTCTGCCTCTTTCTAAGTCTGGATTTGAGAGAGCAGCTCCTGCTGGACTCTTAAAGTCCCATTTAAATCAGAGATAAAGTGTTTACAGGGGTGAGAAAGTAGGCTAGAAAGGTTAGAAAGATACAGTGAAAGGGAAGGAACAAGGGTAAGGCTAAGCATCATGTGACTGGGGTTGAAAGTGTTATGCCTGATTCACAAGACTCCAAAAGACTACCAGGAGTCGAGTCCATTGCAAAACACACGAAGATCTTTATTCACAACTCGAGCTGGGACTCTCACAGACACCAAGACATTGGTATCCAGCTGAGAGTCCTGAGCTCAGGATTGTGGGTGATTTATAGGTCCCAGTCCCTCCCACCACACCCAAACCAGGGGGATTCCAGCCTGGAAAGCTTCTATTGGTTAAAACATAAAAGAGGAGGCTACATTTCAAAACTATTTGCTGTGGGAAGGCACCAATGCCATAAGTGGTTCTGGCTCTTTTGTTCTCTCTTGTGGGGGTAGGAGGAGGGGAAGAACTGCCAGCTTTGGGTTTCAATTGGAATGTCCTGTCCTGGGCTGATAGGCTGTTGCTAAGGGAGAGCGGCAATTAGTTCAGTCTTTGATATTTCCAGGAGCAAGGCTATGCTGGTTTCCTGGCAACAGTACCTCTAATGAGTGGAAAGGAATGCATCAAGGTCAGCTCTTCCCTGCAGCTGGCCAGCTATGTCTAGAAGCAGCAAGGTCATCTTGGCCAGTTATGCCTTAAACATTTTAGTTCAGTACCCCCAAAAACCTAATTCTTAATTCTTTGATCTCTCAAAAGTTTAGTGTAGGTTGAAAAATCGTTTGCAGTTTACATCAGATCTAAGAAAGAAGACTTTTTTGTTTGTTTGTTGTTACACAGGGTTTCTCTGTGTAGCCTTCGCTCTCCTGTACTTGATTTTTAGACCAGGTTCTAGGCTAGCCTAGAATTCACAGAGATCTGCATGCTTCTGCCTCCCCAAGTGCTAGGATTACAGGCTTGTGCCTGATAAGAACAGAATGGCAACTGCCTCTGACCTGAGTAGAGATAGCAGAGGGCTAGGCTGAGGAGAGGGCCTTTTATAGGATTTTTGGAGCATGTGGAAAAGAAGAGTGGCCCAAAGTATTGCTTGGCCAACAACTTTGTCCGTTAACACGGAGTCATGGGGGGCAGGGTGTTGGAGGATATTTGATCGCATTGTGAACTATAAGAACTTGTTTCTTGTTTGGTATGGTTCAGCCCTAACACACAGCTTTAATGCAAGAACTTTGTTGTAAGCAGGTGATTTTGGTATAGCTCAGCCCTAGCATACACTTGTAAATCCAAGAGCTTTCCATACACAGGATTTAATAAAGTTAACCCTAGGTCAAGAGGCAGAACAAGAAACCAGCTGTCAGGGATTAAGTAGAAAGGAAGGACTTTGAGGGAAGAGTATTTAAGACAGTGTGGAGAAGAAGAAAGAGCTTTTTAGCCTTTTAACTTTTCCTCCTAAGCTGTTGGGTGAGCTAGCAGGCCTTTTCTTCCTGGGCTGTCAGCTGAGCTAGCAAGCTTTTGGTTTTTAGCTTTTTCCTTCGGGACTTGAGCTGAGTAGGAAGGTCAGATGGGTGCTTTTTCTACCTCTCTGAGCTAGCAAGTTTTCACCCTAGCATCTGGCTCCTGAGTCTTTTTTGGTAAAATTGAATGATTGGGTCAGGCCAGGGGCAGGGTGTTCTTTCCTTGGCCCTTTTTGCCTACATATACCTGCATGTTTTATTTATTGCTAGTATATGTGATGTTATAATAAACCAATTGAAAGAGATGAAGACAACTATGCTCATTAAGCCAATTCAAAGCATAGGTGTCCTTCTTTGGCTAGTGACCATGCCTCCAAGTCTCTTGCTGCCAAAGCTCAGGGGGACAGCCTATAAGGCAAAGACTACAAAGGTCATAACTCACACCAAAGTTAGATGAGGATCAGAGTACCCTTGTGTCCTTAAGGAGTTTATTAGAAAAGTTATCAATGCTGTGAATAGACACATAGACAACATCATGGTGGGGGCTCTCAGAAGAGGAGTCAGGCAGACATGGTAGACAAGGGGGTCTTCTCTTCAGATTTCTAGGGCAATCATAGCACATGCCTATAGCCTGGCTCTCTAATTCCAGGTAGAAGTCAGGGAAGAAGTGGGGAGCAGAACTGTTCTACCCCCACCTACCCAACATCTCCTTTACTGTGAACTCACTTCCCCAGGTGAGAAATCTGCACAGCTGCAAGTCTGTCAGCTAGAAAGTTAGACAAGATCTCAACAGGCACTTGTCAGTGTCTACGAGAGGGGAAGGGCTGCTGCAGGGATTATAGCCTGAGAAGCAGTCTGGTCTGAATTCTAGCCTTCATTCCTAAAGAGAGAAACAGAAAAAAAAAATTTAGAACACCCAGTTCTGGCCTATATTGGATGGCTTTAGTTGTCGCCTTGACAAAGCCTAGAGTTGTCTGAGCGGAGAAGCCTCCGTCCCGGGATTGCCTCCAATGTGGCCTGTGGGCAGAACTGTGGGAGACTGACTGGAATAGTAGTTGATGCAGGAGGGCTCAGCCCACTGTGGGCAGCACCTTTCCCAGGCTGCAGAAGAAGCTAATGCTAATCATAAGCTTGTGAGTGGCCTACCAGTGTTCTCCACAGTTTCTGCTTCAAGGTCCTGCCTGACTTCCCACAGTGATGGTTTGGAAGTATAAGCCAAATAAACTTGTTCTTCCCCAAGTTTCTTTTGATAGTGTTTCATCACAGCAAGGCCCAAACTATAAACAAACCCATTTTTTTTTTTCACTAATCCCTGCCTCTAGGGTTTTGGTAAAGTACCAAACAATGGCTTCATATCCTGTAAAACCAGACTAACTGTACTGAAAGCCTCTGAAACCAGAAGATAAAATAAACTTTTATTCTTTTTAAGTTGATAATGTCATGTATTTTGCCATAGCAATGAAGAATTTATTAGGATCCAAACAAATAACAAATTTATTTGAAGGAAGAAAATTATGTCTAAAAAAAGTATACAAACTCGGAGAGTAAGAATTTACCAATTAGTTAAAAATACTGAAAGACACAGAAAATGTACATTGATGTTTACAAAGCTATTTCGGAAGCCTGTCAGGGAATGCCCTGCGCATGGGGTGAACACTCTGGGACAGAGCTTGATCACCAGCGACAATCTCCTGTATCCTGTCCTGGTGGACTTTGCTTGCTGCCATCGCCTCTTCAAATTCCTTCCACTCATCTGCCTTCGCGGCCTCTCGAGCCTGCTGCTGGTAGGCAATCTGCATCTGAAGTTGATCCCTGTACTCCTTAGCCAAGTAACAGCGCCTAAGGTTTTAAAGTAACAAAGTGTAATGTTAAAAGTTAACATTTGGACTTATGTATAACATTATCATTAAATATATATGTATACCTTAATGCTTGTATGAATATGGACATATAAATATCACTTTGAGACCAAGAAGTGGAATTGTTAGATCATGTGACAGGTCTGTTTTATTTTTTGTTTGTTTGTTTTTTAATTAAAAAAAAAAAAACTCCAATGCTGAAGAGATGGCTCTGAGTTGAAAAGCACCAACTAGTCTTTCAGAGGACACAAGTTCAGTTCCCAGCACCCACGGTATATGTCATAACCATATGTAACTCCAGTTCCAAGGGTTCCAATATCCTCTTCAGGCTTGAGGTCACCAGGCACATGTGTGGCACTGGAAAAACATGCATACATATAAAATAAAAATAAATAAATACTTTTAAAATAAGAAAAGGAAACTCCAGTTAGCTCTTCCTGAATAGGCACTGATGAAACAACTGTGCCACTATCTTAAACTGAAAACCTAAGAGTAAACACAGACAGCTCTTTAACACACTTAGCAGGCTTCTCCCCAGTGCTGCCACAGAACAGCAGCGGTGGAATCCTTTCTTCTCAGACACCATCTCCAATGGATCATGCATGCCTTCTCCAACCTTCCTCCTCCCACTCGTCCCATTATCCCAGCCCAACACACAAGCAGGCATTCCCTGGGAACATGCTGACCACGCCAGCCAAGGAAGCAGGTACATCTTCATCTCTACCTCCTCTGCTCCAAATCCAAGGCCCCGGTCTCCTCCCCAGCTCTGTGGCAGAATACCTGCTGCACCCCCAGTCCTCCATGTCCCCATCTCCATTAGACCACACAGATATCAGCACCTAGAATTACAGTCTTTCCAAACCCAGATGGCTGTCTGCCAGCATAAAAACACAATAAAATCCAGGAAAATGTGGCCCCACTAGACCTCAAGAACTCTCACACTAGGCCCTGAGGAATGAAACAAAGCTAAAACATAAGACAAGGACCTTAACATAGCCTTTACGAATATGATGGCATTCCTTAAAGAGGAAATTAATAAATCCCTTTACAAAATCCATGAAAACACAAACAGAAGGAAATGAATAAAACAACTCAAGACCTCAAAGTAGAAATAGCTACAATAAAGAAAACCCAAACTGAGGTAAATTTGGAAATAAAAAAGTTCAGAACTTGAACAGGAACCACAGAGGCAAGCCTCACTAACAAAATACATGAGGTGAAAGAAAGAGTCTCAGGCACTGAAGACATGATAGAAGAAACAGATACTTCAGTCAAAGATATATTACATTACAAAAACTCTCTCCTGGCACAAAAGCCCCAGGAAATCCAGGACAGTATGAAAAGACCAAATCTATTAGGAATAGAGGAAGGAGAAGAAACAAAGGTCAAAGGTACAGAAAGCATTTTCAACAAAATCACAGAAAAGCTCCTTCTTAGGCTAGGGAGCCTAAAGAAGGAGATGCCTATCAGGATACAAGAAACATACAGAACACCAAACAGATTAGATCAGAAAAGAAAGTCCTTCGGCACATAATAAACAAAACACTAAACATACAGAACACAGAAAGAACAGTAAAAGCTGCAACAGAAAAATATTAACATTTAAAGGCAGACCTTAAAAAAAAAAAACACTCAACTTCTGAATGGAATCAATAAAACAAAAAGTTGGTCCTTTGAGAAAAATTAATAAAATTATTAAAGCCTTATCCAAATTAACTAAACTGAAGAGAAAAAAATATCCAAATTAGAGATGAAAAGAGCAACATAACAGACACCAAGGAAATCCAGAGAAAGAATCATAAGAACATACTTTAAAAACCTGGTATCAAAGCAGATGCTGAGACTCATAACCAAACCTTCGGCAGAGTGCAGGAAATCATATGAAAGAAGGAGGAGTTAGTATGACCTAGAGGGGACAGGAGCCCCACAAGGACCAAATATACCAGGGCCCAGGGGTCTTCTATGAGACTGTTTCTCCAACCAAGGACCATGCATAGATATAACCTAAAACCCCTACTCCGATGTGGCCCATGGTAACTCAGTATCCAAGTGGGCTCCCAAGTAACGATTATTTCTGACATGAACTCAATGACTGGCTCATTGAGCTTCCCCTCCCCCCCTCTTTATCTCCCCAAGGGAGGAGCAGCCTTGCTAGGCCACAGATAAGGACACTGCAGCCAGTCCTGAATATACCTGATAAGCTAGGGTCAGATGGAAGGAGAGGAGGACCTCCCCTATCAGTGGACTTGGAAGGGGGCAGGGAAGAGATGAGGGAGGGAGGGTGGGGTTGGGAGGGAAAGAGGGAGGGGGCTACTGCTGGGATACAAGTGAATGACCTGTGATTAAAATAAAAAATAAATAAATAAAAAATCAGAAAAATTTAAAGTATGGCAAAGGATATATTCACAGTACCATTTGCCTTTATATTTTAATGGGATTTCACTTACTTGCTTGCTGTGTCCTCTAATTTTTTTTTATGAGACAGTATTATTTTCACTAGTACCCTATGGACAATTTAGAAGTCTAAAAAAATACAGTTTAAATAATTAAATTTTATTAACTTAGTAAAAATTTACTTAAAACATGTCTATTCTGTTGCATGCTTTTCTCTCAATATTTTAATTATCTTTTTTTAGTGTAAACGTATACAATAACAAAGAAGACATCATAGATTTGTAGTGAGCATGTGGGGACACAGGAGGAGTTGAAGGTCAAAAAGAAGAGGGATGTAAACCATGCAAATACAGTCAGTTCTCATGTATAAAATTCTCAAAAATATATACGGAATTTAAAGTTTTTTTATCCATTGAACATCTAGTCTTTACACTTAATTGTGAAATGAATAAATTAAATAAATTCCTTGCTTTAAAAAAAAAAAAAAACAACCTGTATTCCACCAAATTGAAAAATCTAAAAAAAAGAAGAAGAATTTTTGATACATATCACTTACTTAGGATCAAATAAACAATTTAAGCAGACCTATAATTCTCAGTGAAATAAAAACAGTAATTAAAAATCTATCAAAAAAATAATAAAGCCTAGGGCCAGATGGTTTTATCGAAGAATTCTACTAGATTTTCAAAGAGCTAATCCCCAAAATTATTCTACAAAACAGAAATAGAAGGAACATTGCCCAATTTGTTTTACTAGGCCACAGTAACCCTGATATTCAAACCACATAAAGACCCAACAAAGAACACATCCAAAAGATCATCCACCATGATCAGGTTGGCTTCATCCCAGAGATGCACATTTAGTAAAGCATACACAAATCAATAATTATAGTCTACGATATAAACAAACTAAAAAACAAAAAACCCCACATGGTTATCTTATTAAATTCAGAAAAGGCCTTTGAGAAAACCCCAACACCCCTTCATGGAAAAAGTCCTGGAGAGATTAGAGATAAAAGGGACAGATCTCAACATAATAAAGGCAGTTTATAGCAATACTAGAGCAACAATTTAAATGAATGGAGATAAACTCAAAGCAAACTCAAAATTCCACTAGTATCAGGAACAAGACAGGGTTGTCTACTTTCTCCATAAGTATTCAAAATAGCCCTTTCAAGTTTTAGCCAGAGCAATAAGACAACTGAAGGAGATTAAGGGCATACAATTCGGAAATGAGAAAGTCAAAATACCCTTATTTGCACAGGATATTATAGTATACATAATATAAACTCTTACAGCAGATAAACACTTTCAGCAAAGTATCTAGATATAAAATTCACTACCCTTTTTATATATAAATGACAAATTGAGATGGAAATACTACCTTTTACAATAGCATCAAAAATATAAACTATCTTGTGGTAACTTTAACCAAGCAAGTGGAAGGCTTGTATGATATTAAAGAAAAAAACTGAAGATGATATCAGAAGATAGAAAAATCTCCCATACTCATGGATCTGTAGGACTGATATAAATGGCCATGCTACCAAAAGCAATTTACAGATTCAATGCAATCCTCACCAAAATTCCAATACAACCCCTCACAGATCTTGAAAGGGCAATTTTCACCATTTGGAAACACAAAAACCAAGGACAGATAAAACAACACTGTATAATAAAAACACTGCTGGAGGTATTACCATTCCAAGTCTCAAGTTGTACGACAAAGCTATAGTACTGAAAGAAAAATAAACAAATGTGATATTTGCATAAAAGAAGACACATGGATTAACAGAATAGAATTGGAAGACCCAGACGTAAGTCTACACAACTGTGAACACTTGCCTTTTTTTTTTTTAATAAATGAGCCAGAAATATGCACTGGAAAAAGGCCAGCATCTTCAACAAATGGTGCTGGTCAAACTAGATGTTTATGTAGAATCCAAATAGGTCCATACTTACCACTCTGCACAAAACTCAACTCCAAATGGATCAATGACATCACTATAAAACAGATCCACTGAACCAGATAGAAGAGAAAGTGAATAACCTTGACCTTGTTGGCACAGGAAAAGACTTTCTATGCGGAATACTGTCAGCACAGGCACTAAGATCAGTAATTAACAACTAGGACCTTAATGAAACTGAAAAGCTTCTGTGATGGCACTATCATCCAAACAAATTGGCAGCCTACAGAATGGGAAAAGATTTTACCCACTACACAGTCAATAGAGGCTAATATCTAAAATATTAAAAGAACTCAAAAATTAGATAGCAAGAAGACAAGCCAATTTAAAAGTTAAAATGGGGTACAAATCTAAACAGAGATTCTCAAAAGAAGAAACTCGATGGCTGTGAAACACTTGAAATGTTCACCTGCCTTGTCGCCAGGAAAATGTCAATCAAAACTACTTTGTGATTTAATCTTGTGCCTGTCAGAATATCTAAGGTCAATAAACCTTACCCGTCGCTGTGGGAGTGTGAACTTGTATAGTCACTATGGGAATCAATGTGGGAGCTCCTCAGGAAGATGGGAATCACTCTACCTCAAGAGCCAGCTATATTACTCCTGGCATATATATAAGCA